CAGGGTACGGAGAAACTTGTTTAGGGCGACTCCTTCTTACTTCCTACCTCCATGTATCTAATCCACGAACTGCGCGACGTTTTCTTGTCCCCACTTTCTAAGAACCTGAATTACCAAGAAGATTGGGTGCTAGAAAAAGTCATTTATCGCCATTAATGGGACATTTTATTGAGACTGCAAGCCTCTATTTTCGATTCAATATCAAGATTGTAAAAATTAGACTATCAATATTGTAAAAATTGTGCATACAGAACAAAAATTAATTTAAAGTCTGGCATGTGCTAAAGTAAAAATGAATTTCTTTTACACTTGAACTATTGAAAGATGTTTGTAATGCTAATATGTATCTTTACCAACACCTTTTATTTTCTTTGTTAGCTCTCTCATTCATTACTGTTATTCAAGTAATTAGCCTGCTTGTTAGATAGTCTTTACTTGTAATTGTGATATGTAATTCTGTATTTTTATTTTCCTCTTGGCTACAAGTCGCTTCGAAAAGTTAAATTGTAACCCTGTAGGCAACGAGGGAAAGAAATTTTGATTCGTGCAGTTGGATTACAGCAGGACGGGAGGGAGATTCTTATTCGTGCTGTTGGAGCCCATTTCAGCCAAGAATGAAATAATCTAATTACTGGTGTCCTGGCCCACTTGCACGTGTACCTGTGCTTGATGTTTGTCTTTCATAATTCTACTCTGTAATTGAAAACTGGTTTATTAGTTCAAAATGGCTATTTGCCTGGAAACGCAATTTTGCATTGTTTCACTTTAATGCGTTATTTCACTTTTCATTCAAGTCTGTTGCCATTCGGTAAAATGTAAGGTAATCTCTCAAATTTAATCTGCCTGTTATTGATGAACAAACTAAGCTATTTAAAAGCAATATATAAAGTTCTTAAGAATAGGTTCCCCCCCCTTCCCCCCCTGTTCCACCTGGGCCATGTCTGTTGATAATCTGTACTGGTAAACCACATGAAACTTTAAAAAAGACTTTTTAGGCGATGGTTAAAATCTAAACCCTTTCATTAGCCCAGAAGGGCTATTAGTCTCAAAACAGGATTTTGCGTCAGATTTGGAGTCCAGTTTTATATTGTTTTAATTACTATTAAAAACGAACTTGAGTAATGTCCCAGAAAACTATAAATAGAACTAATGAATTTACACTGTGATGTAAATCTTATTCTAAGATTTAAAGATACAGATTTAATTTTAATTAACTTTCATTCGCATTGTCAAAAGGTAAATACTTAATTTTTAAAATAAGAACAAACACTTTGTTTGGGTACATTTATCAGTGAACAGTTTTTTCTCGCAGTTCAAAATTAAGAAATCTAAGAAAAGAACCAGATTGACTGATGAGCATGTACAATTCATAATGAAGATAGTTCCTAGTATTTTTTCCCCAAAATTAAATTGCTATCAGGTTGTTGTAGTTGAAAGCTGTAGTAAAAAATAAAGACGTTTATAATTATTTACATCCAAATGCACGTAGGAAAAACTTCTAGGGGTAATTAAATGATGAAGGTGAACCAACTCAAGAGCTGTCTTGAGCCTGTGGAGTGGGATGCCTTCAGATAGGATGTTTTCAGGGAAGCTGGTTCATATCCACGGTACATATGAGAAAAATCACGAACACCAACCATGCAGGCAGCCCGTTCACAGTGGTTCGATCCCAGATCAAACTACCAGTGATCAGCGACTTACCGCTCGATCTTTGGTGGATGGGGGGGGATGTAAGAAATAAAAGAAAGAAAAAAATCTGAAAGCTCGCAGGTTTTAAATTACATCCAAAGATGCATTTTTTTAACGTTTTGTGTGTTTTTTAACGTTTTTGTGTGTTAAATATCATGTTCTTTGCACTTCAGGTTTGTGAATCCTTGAGTTTGTTAATCAAAAATTCATTAAAGTTTTACAAAATATGAAATCGGTAATAAAACAGATTCCAAATTAAGGCTACTAGATGTCCATATTCGGTGAAAGATTACGTTATTCAAAATTTGGTGGCTCTAGGTACCGCTGTTTTATCACAATGCGAGAAACATACATACGTTTATGCAGATTCTTCATTATTTAATTTCTTTAAATACACTCTTTTGCAAACAAATCGAAGCACCAAGAAGGACTTTGCGATCGTGACGAAATTTGGTATGCAAAAACATCTTGATCGAACAAGCAAATGATCAAAGTTTCAGGGCAAATGAACAGGAATTGCAATTACAGTGCGCATTTCTAGTGGGCAATTCGTAAAGTATAAAACCAGTCATAGAGATTTATCTTTTTTTTTTTGTTGCTGCCATTGTAATTTTGTAAAGAAGCAACTAAAGATGCCATTACAACGATATCGAAGACCTTACAGACAGCTAAACGACTTCGAACGGGGTCGCATAGTAGGGTTGCGTGAAGATGGGTGGTCTTACTGAGCAATAGACCGCTACCTGCAGCGTAGACACTGCTGTGCAAAGATGTTGGCAGCAATGGTTGCTACAAGGAAATTGCCGACGAAATGAAGGCTTTGGAAGGCCAAGGAGCACAGATGTGAGGCAATATAGAAAGATTGTTCACCAGGCCTGAACCGCCCCAACAGTATCATTGTCGACTATTCAATGCACTACAGCCTCGTCTATATCTCCCGTGGTACCGTCCGCCATCTCACGCCGCTTCTCTGAGGCGGGGTTACACTCACAGAGGCCTTTGACCCCACAACATCGGCAGTTTAGATGAACCATAATTTAGAAACGCTAGCCTAGACTATAACTAACATGAAATATAATATCTAAGATGGAAAGGTAATTCTAAACTAGTATGCATTTGGTAAATGTTTTATGATGAATTTTCTCTTCCTGTTTCCTTCAGTTTACTTTTTGTTATAATCATGATCGATAATTTTTATAGAGGTTTTTTTTTATCCCATAGGTACGCCAGCCCAGAAGAACTATTAGTCTCGAAACGGCATCTTGTGTCGAATCACTAAAAGCTTAGAATCATTTTCAAATTATTGCCACCAAATATTATTGCCCTGTATTATATTTAAAGAAATTAAATAATGAAGAATCTCTATGAATGCATATATGTTTCTCGCATTATGAAAAAACAACGGTACCTAGAGCCATCAAGTTTTCAATAACGTAGTCCTCCACCCGAATATAGGCATCTGAAAGCCGAAATTTTGAATTTCGAATTTGTTTTATTATCTATTTCATTTTTTGTAGAACGAAAAAACTCAACAATTTCAAAGTGTGCGAGTCTGTCTATCGAAATTCTAAAGATATGCTGTTTTTAAAAAATGTTAGCGCAAATGCTGTCGAAACTTTTTTTTTTTTTTTTTAAATAGAGGAAGGCAAATAAGATCATAAAAATTCCATATATTATGAGATGAATTTTTTGTGGGAAGTGGCACATTTAAAAGTATTCTTCCTTTTCGATATTCATGCATATATTTTTAAGGTGGGAATAAGAAATATATATATTATACAGTACTTCAAGAATATACAATTATCTTTCTAAAAATATGCTAATTTAAGACATAGAATTGCGTCCTAAAATATTTCATTTAAAAAAGAATGAGGGATCGTGCCATATTCAAAACATCATCTGAGCTAATAAATGAAAAGAATTTGCATATTCTTGCTGGAAAAGCCCAAGGCGGAAAGGGCTAAAGTTAGGAAATTTGGCATGCAGATTCTTCAAAGAAGGAGGAGAAGAGAAGGATTCCCATGTTCACTTTTGAGCATTTTTTTTACATTGGTTTTAAATTTCTTTTTATTCGGAGTTTAAATGATGCTTTACAAAATTTTTTCGTCCGTATTGCCATCAAGTATCAAACTAACTATCGCAGAATTTGATCGTTCCATTGTGTTATTCGAAAAATTATTCTTCCAAGTAAAGTTTGTCTGGAGCTCTATAATACAATTTGTGGATTTGGGATGGTTTTTCTCAAAATGCATGCTAAATTTCTGTTTATTTATATAAAATATCCAATATTTATAAATTCTGACATGAAGAAATCCGTGGTTCATAATGTTTTGTAATTTTCACAGATTTTTTTTAATGAGAGAAAAAGAAAAGAAGTTTTAACCTCTTTTAAAATGACGATGATCAACCTGTATTAATTACCCGATTTTTCTATAATTTATACACACATATGCACACGTCTCCCTAAACTTTATCTTTTCGAAGTTGTCATTTCAGAGGCAGAGCAGGTTCTGAATGAATTTTTAAATGTTTTATGTAAATTATTTTGCTCTAAATTAAATTAATTTCTCAGGTTTCTATAAAGGAGGAGGAGGGGCAGTTTCAGAAAAACCATCAGACTGTGAGGGATACTGCTTATAGTTATTTTAGACAGGAACTCTTAATTCCACAAACCTTTCTGTTTTTCCATTATTATGATTTTATCATATTTTCACTGGAGAAGATGCTTTGCAAAATATTGTTCTGTTTTTACGGATTATATTTTATTACTCCACTTGAATATTTTTTCAGAATTTTTTAAGAAGTATCTATGAGGTATAAAAGCTTTTTGCATTCGGCATTTTACTTTAAGATGTATATGTTAAAGGTTTAAATGCTGCAGAGAAAGGTTTCATTGTTTTCCTCCTCCTGTAGATATCTGCGTTTTCTTTTACTCCGTGCGAAAAATTAGTAACCTTCTAGATTAAAAATAAAATTAAATGGAAAATAGTCTTTTAGATACCACAGAAATTCTTCGAATTCCTGCGTGTTATGGTCAAGGAAAATGAAGAAGATTACTGTGTTTTATGTATAATAAAATTTTATTTGGAAATGATATTTCAAAATCTATGTTATTGCAGAAATCTTTAGTTTAGCTTAAACAAAATTACTCTTGTCTTTCAGATATATATGCTATTTTTTTAATATTTTTATTTATACTTATATTAGTGCTATAATTCTTATGCTATTCAAATTGCTTAATTGTTTAGTTTTGAACATATAATTTTAATATTTTATGAGTTATACTAAACATGTGTATTTTCTTTTCACAGTGTTAAGGGGCTTGGATGCACCTTCTTTTGCAGATTATAAACCTGTTTTAAGAGAGACTGTATCATATATTGTGGCATCAGTTCTAATTAACAGTAATAATGAGGTTCTTATGATGCAAGAAGCAAAAAGTTCCTGTGCTGGTACGTGGTATATACCAGCTGGTAGAGTGGAGCCAGGGGAAAATCTTATAGTAAGTACTTTTTTTTTTTCATCTGTTGGAGAAATGAATCAAGTCAGTTGTGTTTAATGGAACTAAGCATCATTGTAACACTAACGTATAATTCATCAAGATTTTAGCAATAGCACATACGGTAAATTTGAAGTATTTAAATTTTCCAAAATTAAAATCAATATTACATGAACATAAATTGGTATCCTTTTCTCCCAGAATTATAAAATTAGAGAAATATTGTGTCTGGAGATCAAAACTGAAATGCTATTATTATTACTTTTTTGGGTGTTGCCAATGCAAACATTTTTTCAAAATAAAATTGTATAATGACAGACCTACATTAATTTCTTGCCTGTAATTAAGTTATAATACAAGGAAACAGTGGCGTGGGTTTTTTATTATATATATAATATATATATATTTGAGCAACTCATTACCTGTTTATAGTAGTAACTGTAGTTTTTCAGCTTCAAATTTCGTATTAGAATAATCTTTTGCTTTGTTTATCATTATTTATTATTTGACACCAGTTTTTTTCTTCTACATATAACAGCACCAACAACCCCCTTCCTCCTTTTTTTAACTTAAATTTTATTACTCAGTTCTTTATACTCTTTTATAGCAAATGCTGATTATTCCAGCATTTTATTGAAATCTGCATATTTCATTTCTGTATCTATTTCCTGACATTCTGCTTCAGTGACTTTCCACTTTTCTTTCAGGGAATGCATTTCTTCTTGCAAAATTTTATTTTCAACAAGCAAGGTCTCTTCATGGCAAATTTCAGATTTAATGAATATCTTTTTTTTTTCCACCATATTTTCACTGTTTGAATCCATATTGCAATTGTTTGACATCACCAAACTATGATGTGCATTGTGGTTCTAATTAATCGTTCATCAAGATTTAATAGTTATATATATTGTGGTTCTGAAATATTTTACTTTTCATTTGTTGATGATTGGTATAATTCCAGATAAGAAACACTTTATATCTATTCATAAGCTTAGCCTTTTAAAACTTGGTAAGTTTGGATAATGTATAATTGAATAAGAATTTGCTTATCTTGATATCCTTTCCAAACTGAAAATTTTGCTATGCTGATAATTTTGTAGGTAAATTAAACTAAAACGTATTCACATTTGAAAAATGACCATTTGCATTATCAGATTCACAGTGGGTCATGAAAACTATAACTCATATTGATGAATGTATTTAATTACTTTATATTATTTTATGAAAGCATTAGGTTCATTATATGTACTCCATTTCTCTTGTCATGTATCTAAGTAACTTGATTCATTTAAAAATTCCTAACTATTACAGAACTTTTTGAGGCAAACTACATAATTTTTGCAGAAGATAATATAAATATACAGCTAATACAAAGTTGATTTTTTAAAAATTTTTCTTCAAATTCTTTTTATGTCATAAATGTCAGGAATAAAAGAGTATACTTTTCTTACACCTAGGAGCAAGACTTCTATTGTTTTTTTCTCTTTGTATGCTTAATTTTCAAAAGCATTACCATATCAGGTTTTTATTTTATTTGTATTGATGCTATTTTAATAACTGGTGTTCATTAAATTTATACAAACATTGTTTTAATAACATAAGAAATATCCCTTTTCTTTCAAATGAATTTATGAGTGATACCTCCTATATTTCACATTTCTTTAGTTGAACTTGCATGATAAACACTTTTGGTAAGATTATGTGGGTGTTTAGTTAAATTAAATGTAATTGGGGATGAATAATTGTGGAAACAGCTGTACATTATATGTATTTTTAATTCCTTTTCCCTAAAACTTTTAGGAAGCTGCGAAGAGAGAAGTTCTTGAGGAAACTGGACTACAGTTTGAACCTACTACTTTGCTTATGGTAGAATGTGCTCAAGGCCACTGGTTTAGGTTTGTTTTCACTGGCAATGTAACAGGTAAAATATATTCTTAACTAAAGCTTATTAATTATAATTTAAACATTTATGGGTATTGAGATTGATGTAAATACTACATGAGTTATTATGGTCATGCATAGCAATTTAATTTCAGAAAATTAGAATAAATGATTACCTAAGATCTATCTGTGCTATGAACCACCAACTGCTTTCTTTTATGCCATTTTTTATATGAACTTGTGCTTCACATCTAGATAGGATCCACAAATAGAATGGTACAAGCAGTATAGCACAAAGATGACATCCGTCCCAGGTCATGTTGTATGGAATTGAGCATCATATCAGTAGAAGTCATCGGATAACACAATGCTGTACCTTTTTTCAATATCAGAACACAACATAATTGTAACATTGGCATACAAGGCCTTGTTGTTCAATACATTTCTGATAGTTTTTCTTATTGTAGTGTGAACTGCCCAGTATTGTAGTTTACATAACACTTACTTAGCACTAATGCATGGCTGTTTGTAGGGTAGTGATACAATGAATCTTGTTGTGCATACACTGTGAAATCGAGATTGAATATATTCTGTTCTCTGAATTCCAGTAGGTTGATTTTTTATAACATTATGGTTACACACATATCAGTTTGCTTATATTTAACTTATGCATTATATTAATATATTTACAACAATAGAATGAATGCTTATATTACAAATTTGAATACATATATAAGTACTTTTTCATTTCGCTGGCGCAAATCTTGCCAAGCATACTTTATTGGTGACAACACACAGTATACGCATAAAAAATGTTGACAAATGTTAGCTCTAAGAATTTTTTATTTTGAAGTATTAACATTTTAATGTTGTTTAAAATTTTGTAAAAAAGACAATAAATTTCTAAAAAGACATTAATTTAAGAATTTACTATGCTTTAGTGGTACAACATCCTGATTCACCGGTTCATATCACGTGATCCCAAGTGATCTTATCTCATGTAAACTATACTACAAAAATCGAATTCTCTTAGCAATTATGTACATTAATTTCAAGTTAAATCTTAATTTGGAAATGCAAGTTTAAATGCAAAAATTATTTCAATTCATATGAATAGCTTACTCAGAAATTATGTAAAACCACAGTGCTTTACTTCGCTAGTGCATTTAGAATTGATGAATTTAACCTTTGACTTTGCCTTTTCTATATTTTCGCCTTCGGATGAGCGGTGTGATTGCATCCTAATTGACTTAATTACCACGTATAGCCTTAAGACATAAAATTGAATTATCTGGTAAAAATTATGTGTAATTGTATGCCAGTATTGAAAGAAACAATTAATCTGACAAGAAATGGCTGTGTCTTGTTTTGAAAATGAGAAGTAAAAGGTTACCAGCAAGGATATCCCCTTTTGCATCAGTTGTACCATTATTGGCAACTTTATTGCCTGCGCCGGCAAAATGGAAAAAGTAGCCTTATATGTAACAGAGAATTACATTAAGTATATACATAAATGTATGATATGCATGTGATTGAAGTGATGCATTAAATTGATACATTTACAATAGTAGAATGAACACTTCTATTACAAAATTGAATATCTATACATAGCAGAAAATTACATCAAGTATATACATTCATATGCAAATGACAGGAGTGATTGCAATCAAAGGAGATAAACAGTGTTGTATGCTACAGATACATATAAATGCAGTAGTGATTTTGATATTACATACATTATATGAATATATTTAGAATAGCAGAATGAGCCCTTATATTTCAAAATTGAATATCTGTATATAACAGAGAATTACATCAAGTGTATTTATATACAGTTGTAGCCAAAATTGTGGACTTTTTTGGAAATTTTTATGTTTTTGAACTTTATATGCTTATAGAAAATGTTGCGTTTCACAAAATGCAAACTTGTATATATCAAATTTAAAGAGAATTTATTACTGAATTCAGTACAAAACAAAAAATTCAATTATTTGCAATACAAAAAAAGTTAAACGATAATAGTTATCGATATACATTAGACAGTGATGATTGCAGTGAGTTATCAGTACTTAGTAGGATACCCTTTATTTTTTATTACAGCTTCACATCGACGTTTCATTGAGCTGACAAGAGTTTTAAGCTCTTTTTTCATTATTACATGATGCCAGGAAACAATTATAGCCTCAATTAGTTCCCTTTTATTTGATGGCGCCTCATTCGGACAAGAGTTTTCAAACAGTGCCACAAATTTTCGATAAGACTGAGGTCAGGACTGTTTCCTGGCCATGACAACAATTAAATGCTGTTTGTACAAAACCAGTCTTTCGATATTTTGGCCATGTGGCAAGGAGCAGAATTCTGCTGAAAAATAAACAAAGCATTTTTGGGAAAGAGGTCTCTGGTAGAAGGTAGAAGTTTTGGTTCTAGAATAGTGTCAATGTATTTTCTGTCATTCAGTGTCCCATCGATGACATGAAGGCGACCAATACCATCTGCTGACATGCATGATCAAATCATAACACTAACTGGGTTCTTCACAGTTGCTTGAATGCAGTCAGGATGTAGCTCTTCTCCTATTCTACGTCTTACATATTTTCGCCCATCACAGCCAAATAGCGATATCTTAGTTTCATCACTCCATATAACTTGTGACCACTGATCATCTGTCCAATTAATGTGTTCCTTTGCCCACTATAGTCTTTTTTTTTTTTTTTTTTTTTTTTTCGTTGCTGAAAATTAAGGTAAGGCTTTTTTCGTGGAATTCTACCTCTCAGTTCAACATCTGTTAATCTTCTCCTGATTGTTCTTGAACTGACAGAAACACCAGCATCATTCAGGTCACTTCTGATGGCCGCTGATGACATTTTTCTGTCTTGGAGACATAGGTTTTTTTATTTACATACATTACATTTTTACTTTACATATAAATGGTGAAATGAACGCGATTTTGATGTTACATGCATTATGTTGGTACTTCTGCTGTGCGTGCATTGTGCTACTGCTTCTGAATGCAGCAGTAAAATATATTCAGTCATATGATGGGTGTAAAACTTTTATAACATCATTCCTTTCAAAGCAATAATCTTATTTTTAGAAAAACTACCTTTTTTAAAAAAAATTTATTTCAAAGAGGATAATTTAAAGAATGATAAAAATTTATTGAATACAGAAATAATTTGAAATTGGATATCATTTGAATTATATATCTGAGATTTTATTTTTTAAATTTGTATGTGTTATAATCATATTAGGTCATGTATAAATGAAATGCATAAAAGGCGGTTGGTAGATTTAATTAACATGCAAGGTTTATCTGTCAAGAGAGGGATGTCTTCGTCGAGGACACTTTAAGGGAAATTAGCTCATATTCACATAATATTTGAGAAAAACTACAAAAACTCTCATGTAACTATCTTATTTGCTTGAATTCAAACACAGATGAAACTATCATTATTCAACAGTCTTATTGAAATACATAAAGGAAACATTTTGATTGAGAACATTTCACATTTAGGAATTTTTAAAGGTTCTTCTGTATAAGTATTAAGTTCTTAACATATGTGAAAGAATTAATCATGAATCATATCTATCTGAAGCAATTTCGTTGATAAAGCGTAGTTTTAAAATTGTACCGATTTTTGTTTCGTTGTCTCTTAACCTGTTTTACAAAAAAAAAAAAGTGTTCATTGTATTTTAATAATGTGCCATATTTGGATTCGTTAATGAGCATTTGTAATCACATGCACATTTTTTTTTTTTTTCTATTGTATGAAGGGGGCCTTCTAAAAACAGTAGCAAGGGCTGATGCAGAATCACTGCAAGCAAGCTGGATTGATGATTTAAACCAGTTAAGTTTGCGTGGCGAAGACATTCTACCTCTTATAGAAAGAACAAAAGAGTTTCATGCTGCAAAGCCAGAAGCATGGCACCGTCCATTATTACCAGCAGTACATCCTCATAAACACCTCATCATCAGACTTATTGTTGTAATCAGGAAAAAGTCTAAGTGAGTAATTTTAGGCAAATGATCTCTTCTCCCCCTCCTTTTTTTTCCTTTTTAAAACCATTTAAGTGATTGCTCATAACATATTTCACCATTTTCATAAAGACACATCAGATATGCACACTGCTCCATCATGAGACAGGTTATTGGATCAGAACTTCACTTCATGGGATAAATATACTTGCTGTGATTTGAGAATTTTAAATCAGCAGATTTCTCTAATCATAACATCTTTTTGTTTTAATCAATCTAACAATTTTGATTAACACTTAATAAATTAATTGTAATTAGTGCTATACATATTTTGGGAAAATATATGTTTTTCGTTTATACATATCTTTTTTTTTCAATTAATATTGCTTAAATTTTTTAAACCTTTAATATGTTGTACATAAATTTAAAAATATGCTATTATACAAATGTTATTTATGCTTGCATAACACATACATTAGCATTTTTAATTATAATAAAACATTAAAATTCGTTTTATATATCATAAATTTTAAAGCAAATAATTTCACATAATGCAGCGTCACATTCTTTGCAGTATTCTCTGAATGAAATGTACTATACTCAGTACTCTGCAGTATACTTTCCAAAATAAAAAATGTTATTCTTGAGTTGCTATATATAGTTGGTAAAAAAACCTTGAGAAGGTAGCTGACATCATTATCTAGCACCAGATAAAAGATCTTCAGTATCTTCATTTAAACAGTTATTACTCGTTAAAAGCCCAACTATCCAGCATTCAACTACCTGATTATCTCAAGTAACCAGAAAATTTTATAATTCCTTTTTTTTATTTTTTTTTAATACATCCTTTTCAAAACATTAGGCAAATAGGAGACTTTTCAAACCATTATAAAGCACATGTATAGGATACTAGAAACTGCACTGATAATTTCTAAAAAAATGTGAATAGACTTACAGGCTACTCTTTCTGAAGATGTTGCTTACAACTACACCCTTCCCTCATCATTGTATCCATTGTACTGTTTTATAATTCATCCATGGAATAGGATACACCTCATATAAATAGAAATGGAAAATTAATATCCTGTACAGTTCCCAATAAAGTTTTTTATTACTACAGTATAGAAGCATGAGAGAGATTTCAAAGTTTACAATAGTTGTTTAGTTTATCTATCATGATCACTATTCTCATTAGTGCATTTAACACTGGCAGTCAGTAAAGTAACAGGCCTTAACATTTAAAGAAGATATGAGTCAGGTTGGCCTTAGAAATAAGTTGAATGTTGTATTGGTCACAGTTTTTAACAAACTTGAATCATATGATTCTAATTAAATAAAGAGTGATCTTCTAAGTTTCTACTGGAATTTTGCATAATTTGGCGGCATATCTGCCAATTTTCAGTGTCAACAACATTTTATTATCAGATAAGAAAAATGATTTCACATGTTGAAGGACAACAAAGTATATTGGATTTTATGTACAAAATGCATTTTTTTTTTTTTTTCAAAACAATTAAAAAATTTTTTTTTAAATTTTAATGTGGGTTTCTGACATTCAAGCTGATAACAAATAAGATGATTCTTTTTGGAATTTTAGACTGAAACTTTCTTTCTGCATTCTCATGCCTTTTCTACTATGAATTGCATTTATATTGTTACGAATTTGGTATTTAAAAAGCTAATGTTAGTTCAATTATAAATTAAATGGTTTTATTTCTAGCGCAGTGCAGCGCGTGACGAATATTAAAAGAAAGCTAAGCTGGAAAATTGAAAATACAAGAGTGCGTGCATTAAATAAATAAATATCTCTTTTTGATTTCGAGAAAGTACTGGAAAATTCTAGCACGTGATTTTTAAAATCTTATAAAAGGAGAAAAACATCTCAGTTCCTGGTAGTTGCTTAGTTTGTTGTTGTTTAGAAAACTGCTGTTGTTGATTATAGCGAATTCGCGGATTAGCATTCTTTAGCTGTTTTGAATTACGTTCTATTGTACATTTGAGTAGTTAAAAGATAACTACTGTGAGATATTGTAGTACTGCATGATAATTTGAGAAAATTTAAGCATTTTTGTTGTGATAATAATAAATTTTTGTTCATTTTTCATCGGACTTGTGCATTCATTTCATAACGAACCCGTACGCACGCAACAATTTTTGGTGTCAGGAGTGGGGTTTGAATGCCAATCACAAGAGCGATCACAGTTAAGACAGCTGATATCAGCCTTTGCTGCATTTAAGGAAGAAATGAAATTGGGCCAGGAATTCGTTAAGGAAGAAATGAAATTGGGACAGATCCGTTAAGGAAGAGATGAAATCTCTTAAAGATGAGATGAAAGCTGGTCAGGATGAAATGAAAAGAAAAATTACCTGCGTAATAGAAAATAAATTTGAGGCTATGGAAGGCAGAATAGACGCGGTTGAAACTAAAGTTGGACAAATAGAAGAGTTTCTTCGGTAAAAGAACAAGTGGAAGAAAGATTTTCTTCTGTAAAAGAACATATAGAAGAGAGAGTTTCTGCCATCGAACAACAAATTGGTGATAGGGTGACTGCTGCCATCGCCAAAGAAGTTGACAGCCTAAAGAAGTGCATAGCGACGGCAGGAAACAATTCTGAAGGTTTCAAATTTTTATCGATGCCTGCTCGTTCCGTTCTGAAACTATCTACATATGATGGGAAGACCTTCTGGCAGGTGTATAGGACACAATTTTCTATCGTTGCGGATGCGAATGGATGGGATTCCCAAGCTAAGGCCTGTCATCTCGCCGCTTCTCTGAGAGCAGATGCAGCGGATATCCTGCAGACGCTTCCTGAAAATCAAAGGCTAGATTTCGAAGCTCTATCCGGTGCTTTGGAGCTGCGCTTCGGCAAGAAATGTTTAAAAGACTACAGCAGGCTCCAATTAAAATCTCGTGAACAGAAGCTCACCGAAACACTTCAGGAGCTCGCCATGGATGTTGAAAGGTTGTCACATCACGCCTTTTCAGGGCGGAGTGCCCGACAGAAACAAGGGAAATCCTGTCCCTGCAATATTTCATCGATGGCATCCGGGACCCTGAAATACAGAAAGCACTGCGAATGGCGGATGTTAAAGATCTGAAAAGCGCTTTAGTGTTGTACGCCATGAAATTTGAGGCAGCCCAGCAAGCCACCGTCGAGACCGCCATCCAGTCAGAGCTGCTCAAGTCCAGGAGCCAGGGGATCAAGTCACTCTGCTCGTAGACGATTTAACTAGACAACTGAAGCCTTGAGACGGAATATTGGTGACAAGAAAAAGAAACCGACCGTAAAGTGCTGGAACTGCGGTGCTGAGTGAAGGACACATACGACGAAACTGCAGAAACAACCCAGGGCACGGATGTTAAGACCGCTCCTAACAAACAGCAGGGAAACTAATTAGTGGCCATCTCGCGGGGCGGAGGTTGCCAGATAATGAAAAGCCCCAGTTTAAAGCGCTTCAGATTTCTGCAGTGAGAGGCGGCAGTAATGGACTTTTCATAATAGGACATATTAATGGAGTTCCCTGCAATATGACGATAGATACAGGAGCCAACGTTACCATCATCCGAAAAGATTTGGCTCAACAACTGGGAAGCAAAACTTTATCTGGACGCCGCCCTGCGTTACCCTACAGACTGTGTCCGGTGAGAAAGATCGACATCGATGGAAAAGTAAATGTTAACATCACGTTTGGAAGTGCCGCTTACCATCACACGGCATATGTAGCAGAGATCACTGATTCTTGCATACTCGGATTGGACTTTCTAAGGAAAGGAAATACAATTTTTCCTTGGACTTTAAAAATAACGAATTGCATTCTACATCTGAGGACATAGCGTTATTTGGAGTTAAATGATGAAGAAGTTTAAATCTGTCCATAAAATCATAGCACAAGACAATATCACAATACCGGCAGAACAAAATTTTACTTCCTGGATCCTATAGCCGAAAACAGGAATTTCCGCTACGGCATCATAGAATATCCCAATAACTGTAATAGCCCCAAAAGGAGTACTAGTAGCCTCAACACTCGTCGACCTATCCAGAACGGTTATCCCGGTGAGAGTCGCCATGTGTAACTGAGAAGGGGGAGAATTATTAAGAAAGGTGAGTGAAGTGGTTGCAGCATGTACTCCAGTAACCACCGTTGAAAGAAAGAGTAACATCCAAAGAATCCGTGTCCTCAGAGAGCATTACATCGGAGTTATTGCAGAATGCGCAATTAAACAATAAAGAGAGGAATGCTGCCGATCGCGTCATTAAAGATCTTCAAGTTGTTTTCTCCCGCTCGTCTTCTGACGTGGGTCGAACTAGTTTGACACAACATAGAATTAGATACCGGCGATCATTCCCCGATCAAGCAACATCCAAGACTTTCTACCGTTTGCTAAACAGGAAGAGGTGCGAACACTGTTAAAAGGATATATGGAAGAAGAGCGATGTCATCGAGCCTTCAGCAAGTCCATGGGCATCTCCCATCGTCCTAGTCAGAAAGAAAGGCGGCTCAACAAGATTTTGCGTCGACTATCGCCGGTTGAATGAGGTTACGAAGAAAGACAGTTACCCTCTTCCTAGAATTGACGACATTCTAGACACTCTTTCTGGAAGCAAGTGGTTCTCAACACTTGATTTAAAGAGTGGGTATTGGCAGGTAGAAATACAGCCTGAAGACCGAGAAAAGACGGCATTTACTACGGGACAAGGGCTTTGGGAATTCAAAGTGATGCCGTTTGGACTGTGTAATGCGCTGGCAACATTCGAACGTCTTATGGAGACTGTTTTGAAAGGCCTTTCCTAAGAAGCCTGCCTGATATACCTGGACGACATCATCATCATCGGAAAGAGTTTTGAAGAACATTTAGAAAATTTTAGGAAGGTGCTTCAGAAACTGAAAGAAGCCAATCTGAAGCTGAGTCCCGCTAAATGCAAATTGTTCCGAAAGGAAAATGACTACTTACCTGGGACATGTCATGTCATCTCTGCAGAAGGTGTGGGCATGGATCCTGAAAAGGTATCAGCGGTTAAATCCTG